ATATGTATATATATATATATGATGTTGTGATACACGCGAAGTTGAGCCGACGTCGCGGCCGGCGAAAGAAAGTAGTCAGTCCCGTTACGAAATAGTGAGTGAATGCCGACTATCTGGGTCAGACAAAAGCGGAACTTCCGCGACGGTGTGTACTTTGCGATCGCACCGTCGCGTTCGTGGATACGCCCCTTGCGAATTAAAAGCGATAATGAGGTGAAGGAGAAGCTTTTTCTTCCTCCCTGTTGCCCTCAAAATGCATTTTCTGCAACATGGTATAATAAGACGGGTTCTCAACATAATATAGCAGTAACGTATTGGAACAACTAATTAAATTTGAGTTCAAATGCTTCTCTTCTACTGCGCATTCACGGGAATACTACACCTGTCTTTTGTTACATCATGTTGCGCACAATTTCCAAGCGATCGTTCCAAAAAGAAAAAACATCCGGCGGCCTCGGCGAAATCGTAGCGAAATCACGGAACTCGATGGAATATCTCAATCTATTATGTAATAAGCCGGAATGACACAAAATACCGAGGAGCCTTGAGATCCGTCTTGGAATTCGAGCGGACGCTAATCCCACTTTCTCAGTCGTAAGATTATAGATATACCGATGCCGCGTCGCGCCGGGAAGAAAGTAGATGGAGCAAGAATTTTAACTTTTTCGTTAAATTCTTACATTTTGTTTAATTTAATATATGCGTATGAGAACCTACGGTACGTTTCAGAGCGATACGAAAATCCGCCATGATGTTTCAATTTCGCAAATCGGCATCGCCCCGGCGCGGCTCCGCGAGTATTACGGTACACGCATCCTTCCCCCGATTGTTTTTCCCTCGATGCAATCGAGCGTCAGAAAAAGGGAACTCATTATTCACGCGAGTGAGAGGGGCCGGAATGCCGTTCCGAGAGGTAACGGGGAGGCGAAACTCTCCGCGCCTCGAGTCACCGCGAGAGCCGACTCGAAGGAGGCCGCCGCCCCATCGTCGCGCCGCGAGTCGAATCGAGGCGGATCCGCGGACAGCTTCAAGCTTAATAAGAGAATCGGTCGTCTCGCGCTTGTCTCCGGCGAGGTGCACGTCCTCGGGAGTATACGATGATATACCTCCGCGAGTTCTCTCCGTCGCGAACTTGACTCATCCGGCTAAGTGGGTCATTCCGCGCGTTCCTGGGAAGCGCGCGCGCGCGCGGGGGCGAGCGCCGCGCTGAGAGTCGCGTGTGCGAACCCGCGAGTTTCGCGATAACCGCGAGGTACGTCCGTAGATAGGTACGTCGGTCGCGCCGCGCCACGCCGATGCGATCTCCTTCGCTACCTTGACATGCATTCTCTCTCTTGGGCTGGCAGTCAGGGCCGGGGCCGCCCGGGACGAGCCCGGGCCTCGCCCGAACCTCGCGCGATTCTCCACGTCCGCCGTGTGCTTTCACCGACTATAATCACCTGCTCTTGATTCCCGCTCGCACGCGCGATTACGCAATCGCGGAATATTCTTAAGATAGATTTTGCTCTTGTAAAAATAATGTGTAATTAGTTTGACCTAATTACTCATTGTATTTCAACTGGAGTAAAATTATTTCCTTGCAATGACGGATAATGGACGAATTATTTGGACGCGAACACACTTTCCATGTACGATACGTTAGCGATTTTTTGAAAGCGATTTTGAGACGTTAATTAAGGCATCGAGACGCTGATTAAATCTTAATGAGTTGTGCAACTTATTGGGCTATACGTCTCATTATACGTCTGCTTTAAAGAAATGACTTAATTAGGTGGTTAAACCGCGTTGAGTAAACCATTAACGTTAAACTTCTGTAACGAAGGTTTAGTTCTGAACTTGCTGAACGGTACAAGAGATTTGTATACACACATAGATTATGACGATTATCGAGAATTTCCGCACGGTTTCCATGAGATCTTATTAACCCTCTGGCGATAATTTTCTTGCACCGATTTAACCGAAACTTGTTGGATCTTCCATATTGGCTCCTTTCGCCGCTTCCCTATACCAAGAAATGGGTTTCTCTCTCGATGTAAAAAAAGAAAAAAAGAAAATCGACGGAAGGGTATAGAGACGCGAAGATATACACAAAAGTGAAAGTGGCAACGCTGTTTGTAATTTCTGTAACAGAAACGTGACCTACTTGTGCCGCAATCTTGAGATTCCCATTTTTTTCGCGTTACCACCGAATGAGTCAACAAAATGAGCACAATATGGAGAGGGGGATAGTCTTATTAGTCATCCTTTCCTAATATACGATATGTATAACCGCCGGGTTATTCTCTTACACCTTTTATATAAGAACACCAAATGCGGGAATCTTATCGTGGATATATTTTATTTTTGTGCTGAGAGAAAAAAATGATTGCCATTACTATAATTTAATTACAATTTATTTAGTCATTTTTAGTATCACTATATAGATTTTTGACACATAACTATCAATATAATTATTACTACTTTATAGCAGTAATAATTGCTATAAAAATGAAACTCTCTCTCTCTCTCTCTCCTGATCATAGTTATTTTACCATGCGACATAAATATAAAACATTTTTCTTTCATTGCTATAGTTGGCGATAAAAGAGTTTGAAAATGGTAAGTACAGAGGATATCGTATACATTTCGATTCCGATTGTCCGTGAACTTTGTGACCCACTTAACTGCTTTGCAATAAAGAGGTAGATAAAAAAGAAGATAAGATAAGCGAAAGACGCACAATAGTATAAAGATACACGTATATACGAGAGATATGCACAAAATGTAAAGGAATGTGAAGCGGCTCCTAGGCGATCGATATTATAACACAATTATTTTGTACAATATTATTAATGCTCTCTTTAGATTATTAAAAATAAATATCAATATATCCTCTCTGGACGACTAATAATATCGCAATATCAAATATTGTACAATATTATTGATTGTCTAGAGGTCGTTAAAAAGAATGTTTCTCGATAATTGTCCTTTAGCGGCTGAAAATTAAAGTATAAGGAGATCGCGATTAGTCGACCGATCAGGTCGATGCTACTCTGTGATAGAAAGAAAGCTGCAGTTCTGGGACACTGTGAACGGATATGCTTAGCAGAATTGCTCCGACTTATGTCGTGCAATTTCACGTTGCAACTTCAATGTCGAAGTCTGGTGTAACCGGCTTAAAGATGACTGCGGGGATAAAGATTCTGGGTGGTCCGCCAGAATCGGACGCGAATCCCAGCTGTCCCTTTGGAATTTTCCCACATGAAGCATGCGTCACGCGCAGCGTATGACGTATAATATAAATGTTAAACGTATATTCTACAGATGTTATACTTAAACGCAAACACATTTAGCGGAATTGAAATCAACTCTACGTACCTACATAGTATATCGCGAACGAGATGAACATCTCTCGCTCGTATTTTCTTTTATTAAATTTACTTATCTCGTTCGTTATTCACAGTTCCTTTTGTGATTAGTAGCTATTTTTCTGAAGAATTAAAACAGGAATGAGTGTTTATTTCCAACTTGATCGATGCCGAATGGCGACAGAAAAATAAATAACGATAGAATCATTATTATTTACTGGACAATATTGTTACTCGTTTGGCTTCTTATCGTCCGCCACGTTCACCGCCAACAGTTACATACACAGTTGTTCCGCGAATTATGTAACGCTGAAACATAATCGCAACGCCGCGCCGGCGCTGCTATGGAATATATGAATGCCTAAAGCCGCGCTTGAAATCCCTCCCGCTCGTCGCTCACTTAATGTCGCACAGTTAACGCTATATGTACTTCCGTAATTTTTTTTACAACTTGTTTTTCCTTCCTTTGGAGGTGTATTAGACGTGCGTTTTGCTGCTTTAATTACGGACGACATATGTCTTTTGATATGCGAAACCGGCGATAAACGCGCGGTCCGCGCTACAGAGCGAAGCGTACACGTCCAATGGCGCAGCGAATCGCTCACGTGCATGCATGCACATTCACGGCCGTCGGTCGCACCTGCCGATATTAGCAGCGTATCGCAGGTGCCTTGTACCTTTGCGTGTCACGCGTCGAATAAGCGGCATTCCATTCCGAGGCGCCGCCGTTCGTCCACGCGACGCTTCGGCCGCATCGAATTATACACGTTCTCCTCTCTTTCCTTCTCCTCCTTTCTCTGCCGCATGCGGCGTCGAGAGAAAAATGAATGCCAGGAGCACCTCATTGTCTCGCTCAGAAGCCTTGTCAGCTTTTGCGCGCGTCACGACGTCCGCAATCTCTCTCTCTCTCTCTCTCTCTCTCTCTCTCCTCGCGCGTCTGGGAGCGCGCGACAACCGCGTCGCCGAGGAACGCAAATGTCGAGGAGAATGCGACCGTTAGGAATGAAGAAATTGTTAATTAGTGTACTCTCCGGTTCAGCCGTTAGACTACTCGGAGCGAAATTTAAATCGAGTCAATTTACTGTGCATCTCTTTCGATGTATAACATACATACCAGGCATTTTTCTACTTTTCACAAGCAAACGTCATTTGGTACAAATGCCTGAAAATATTTTGCTTTAAACTTAACCTTCCGTCTGCAAACAGGTTACGAGCGAAATTTTACTCTTATTTTTGATCTTCCTTTTTGCTCGAATTTTTATTATTATTAAATAAAGCCTTTAACATTTAAAAACTATTTGATAAGGTAATAGAGATGTTGAAAAATATAATGACGTGAACTCTTTTTGAAAGTTTTTAAAACAGTATAAAAAAACTTGAACGAAAAAGTCTCATATTGCAGACAAAAGGAATAAAAGAAAATAATTACAGATGAAGGTTTAATTATAATTTTAGAAAATAGATTCTTTTTTAGTAAATGCATAGATATTTCTCCTCGATCTTTCTCACGCATTCGGTTAATGCATCGAGTAGTTTGTGCGGTTTTCACGAACGGAAATCCTACCAAATCGTCAGGATATAACGGATATTATGATTAATCGGATATTATCGAGTATCAATCTTTCTCACAAGATTCCCGTTTTTCTGTTACAGTAAATCTAGCGGACAACGGCAGCCAGAAAGTGGATATGACACACTTCGACTTACTGAAAGTCCTTGGCACCGGAGGTGAGAAATCATTTGAAATAAAAAAAGTGCCTTTTCCTAAACGCGGTCCAGTTAGATAATATTTGTAATCAATCCTAAATCATAATATTTACAATACCGCGGTAATAAGTAATATTCAAACTATTTGTAACGGCAGTAATAACACTTGAATTATTTCTAACGGATATTGTAATGTTTGTGCCGTTATATAGACATCAAATTTTAAACGTTTCTCTGTTACACGGTATATTATACGCAAGTTAATTTCCGATACTTTAGATTTTTTCCCGACTGTGCTGCTTTTTCAATATCGACATTTCTTAATCTTCGTTATTATTAATATCTCGAAACTACGACGCGTATCACGCTTCTAATATAGATCGTCTTGTTTTCATACAGCTTACGGCAAAGTTTTCTTGGTGCGGAAGAACACGGGCACTGACGCCGGACGGCTTTATGCCATGAAGGTGCTGAAGAAAGCCTCCATCGTGCAGAAGAAGAAGACGACGGAGCACACCAAGTCTGAGCGCCAAATCCTGGAGGCTATCAGGGACAGCCCATTCCTGATAACTCTTTATTACGCGTTCCAAACCGACGACAAACTCTGTTTGATCTTAGGTGAGATTCGCATGCGAGGAACTGAAACTAAAGAAAAAAAAAAAGGAATCTACCAATTAAAAGGAAAACAGATAAATGGAGTAAATAAAAAAATATTAATTAGATTTTGCTAAATAAATATTTAGTTAGTATTTTTCCTTTGCAAAATAATTTCTTAAACAATTTCGGTATTACATTCATTACAGACATGATAAAAAGATTTATCATATATACGGATAAAATACAGGTTTTATATACCTATGCAATTGAATAAAAATAAAAGTTATTAATAAAATAATAAACTTTTTTCTCACATTTGGTCAAATGTCATTTTGTAGATGGCACGCGAAGAAAAAATTGATCTATTTTTCTTTTCCTTGAGGATGTAGAACTTTGGAGATACGAGATATTTTTTTCTATTTCTAGAATATGTTGCCGGTGGTGAGATGTTTACGCACCTGTATCAGCATGACTGCTTCACGGAAGAAGCCGTACGTTTTTATATTGGCGAAATTATCCTGGCACTCGAGCGCCTTCATGACGTATGTATTAATAATATACTAATGTTATACGCGCGTATAAACAAATAATAAGATACCTTTGATGAAGAACGAAAACAATCTGCGAAGAATTAAACGAAATTAATTAAATTGAATCTGTGCATATAATATTTTATTTGATGCTGCAGCTTGGCGTAATATATCGGGACATCAAACTTGAAAATATACTTTTGGATAAGGATGGGCATCTCGTGTTGACGGATTTCGGTCTCAGCAAAGAGTTCCTACCACACGAGAGGAATGGCAATGCACGTACTTACTCGTTTTGCGGAACTATCGAGTATATGGCACCGGAAGTGGTAAAGGCGGGCCCGAACGGCCACGATATCGTAAGTTAACGTTGATACCTTTCTATCTTTCCACGTTACCAACTCGCGTGTTATTTCATCCCCATATCCGCTTTTGTAGCTTCTTTTCTCGGGTGACGACTCGGTAATAATCTGTTTATCTCCCTTCCTAGGAGATAATTAAATTTATGATACATGAATTATTAAGCGTATAATTATATCATATAATATTTTAATATTAATTAAGGAACACAAACAAATTATTAAATTAAATTTTCAGAAAATAAAAAAATATATATTTCAGAGAGTTACACATTATAAATAAAATATGTAAAAGAAGGTACGATTGTGGCTTGGACATAATTAATAGTATAATATAGCCACGTATATATGTTTAAATGTATGTTATTACAATCGAGCTGGTATTCTTATAGGCCGTCGATTGGTGGAGTGTGGGCGTGCTAACGTTTGAGTTACTGACCGGTGCGTCGCCTTTTACGGTGGAGGGCGAGAAAAACAACCAACAAGAGATTTCGAGGAGGATATTGAAAAATGATCCGCCAGCAATGCCGAGCCACTTGAGTGCCAATGTGAGCGATTTCATCACCCGTTTGCTGATCAAAGATCCACGACAAAGATTGGGTGGTGGACCGCGCGACGCTAAAGAGCTCAAGGAGCATCCCTTCTTCATAGATGCGGCACCAGCCTTTACTTGGGAAGGTTTGGAGAAGAAACTGATCAAGCCACCTTTGATTCCGAAAATTTCGCACGAATTGGACACCAGCAATTTTTCAGACGAATTCACCAAGATGAATGTCGTCGTTGACAGTCCGGCGGTTATTGATGGCGACTATGACAAACATTTTAGGGTAAGTTTTCTTAATTTTTTTCATTATTACTTTGAACAAATGGATAGCCGGTAACACTTATAGATTTTATCAATCATTTAAAAAATTTCTCACTTGAATGTTTTTACAGGGTTATTCGTATGTAGCGCCTTCGATTCTATTCACCGACAACGTGGTGAGCAGGGATATCTTCGGTGGAGAGACCAGTTCGCAACGGCCTTTGTTGTCCGATCTTCTGAACACGTGTTTCGAGGAGTCCACGTTCTTCCAGACGTACGAGTTAGATCAAGCGGGACCAGCTCTAGGCGATGGCAGTTTTTCAATTTGCCGGCGGTGTCGTAATCGTAAGACCCAGCAGGAATACGCCGTGAAGATCGTCAGCAGGCGGGTGGATTGCAGCCGAGAGGAGAATCTGTTGCGTGCGTGCCAGCGTCACGCGAACGTAGTGAAATTGATAGAAGTCCACCACGATCGACTTCACACATACATCGTGATGGAATTGCTCTCGGGCGGGGAATTGTTACAACGACCGCGCCCATTCTCGGAGCGACAGGCCAAGCGAGTGATGCGGCAATTGGCAGCCGCAGTGCGATACATGCACTCGCGTGGCGTAGTGCATCGTGATCTCAAGCCAGAGAATATCGTATATGTGCATCAAGGCGAAGATTCGTCTGTAAAGATAGTTGACTTTGGATTTGCCCGGATGAAGAACAGCTGCGAGCCGCTACACACGCCCTGCTTCACGCTCCCGTACGCTGCCCCGGAGGTTGTGGCCAACCAAGAGTACGACGAGAGCTGCGACATGTGGTCCCTGGGGACTATTCTGTATTTCATGTTGTCCGATAATCCACCTTTCCGTACGGATACACCTAACGTAGCGAATCGCATCAGAGCCGGTGAGATTAATTTTGACAGCGAGGCTTGGAGTCACGTGTCTCCCGGTGCCAAACAAGTAATGAAAGGTTTACTGATGATCGATCCCAACAATAGACTTACCGCAGCTTCTCTGGTGTACCATTCGTGGTTGACAACGCATGATGCAACGATTCTCCCGGTAACACCGGTCACTGACGTGGTTCAAACGGATACTACTACGGTAGCCGTGAGTTCAACGTCAACGCAGGAGCGCGAGGGTTTCCGATTACGCGCGGTCGATGCCGCTAAATTGGCACAGCGTCGCAAGCACAAACGTTCCAATTCCAGTTCCTCGACGTCGAGACCGTCTTCTTCTTCCTCATCGAGTCCGTCGTCAGTTCAGTTGCTGCGTCTACCAAGCACTACAATAAGTGCTCCGAACACTTCCACCTCGTCACCAAGCGTCTTCGATTTTAATGATGAAGTTGTTAACGAGTACCTGAGTTCCCTATCTTCTTCTTCCGATTCGAATTCCTCGATAAGACTTTCACTCCTGCAAGAATTGGAGAGGACCGCGAAGAAGCGGACCAATGCCGACCATGAATCGTGTCAATCGATAATCCCGACGAAAAAGCATCGACATCGGCGCGATGTTGACAGCGAAGCTAGTGGCAGTAGTAGTAGCGGGCCAATGACACGATCGCGAAAACGTAAACTCGAACAAATAATAAATTCGGACAGAGATATAGGTTCTGACAATTCCGCGGAGTCGTTCGAGTCGTCCTCGCAAGTTGCGCATGACGAAGGGGATGTCCATAGGAGACATAAAGCTGGCAAACGGCCCAAACGCCTTGCCACGATTATAGTCGAGTAGAGAGTTTTCCTACTTATGCTTGGTCCAGTAACGCTCCAATGAATTCACACTTTGTTTCCTATGCATTTTACACAGATATATCTTTATAACACCGCTGCCTTCTGCGTTTATACAGAACGCGAACATCGCATCATTCCTATCTCATCAGAGTTTTAGAATATCGTATATAAATATATAAATAGTTATAACATAATTATGCCATCCCATCTTCTTAAAAAAATCTTGGTCCATTTTCTATTTAAATAATTATATGTATAATTGAAAAGTGCATTCTTACAATGCTAATTTAAATATATTGGATAGATACCAGAAATGGACGTGTATAAAACGATATATCATTGTGGTCAGGGTCTCAATAAAGTATCAATGTTTCTCCGCGAAGATTTGTGCAATATGCAGAATTTATTGTGCAATGTATAGAATTTTATTTTTATTACTTCTAATTGAGAGAAACAGAGAAATAGGCGGATGCACATAAGATGGTGAATCGTTTTGTTGCGTTAAACTGGAATTGTCTGTGATTATAGTGCGAGGACGACAAACTGTAAAATTATAAGTTATATTATAACTTATTAAACACTCCCGTTAAAATTTTCTTCCAACGTCACTTCTTGCAATCGATAATCATAAAGATGACGATTAGTGATTAACTAGCCAATACGAAGAAAATTTTAGCGACTGTTTATAACGAGTATACATGTGGTGAATGTGCCTCAAAAGCTCATTTCATTATGAGTACATTAAAGATATTAATGTAATTGAAATGATACGCGATTACGCGCTAAAATAACAAAAGCAACTGTTATTACCAGTGGTACCTCAATCATAAAGAAAAAGGAAAAAACATATTTAAAAAATACTATTTGTTAAAAAACAAAATATAAATTAAGCACTCTTTTACGAATAGAGTTATTGAATATAATGACACATATTTATACAATTAAAAAACAAATTTTGTTTATATAATTATATACATTATATTCTATTAATTTTTACAGATGACTATATAAAAAGAAATGACGATGTTAATTGACGATATTGATAGATAATAAGTAAAATTGCGAAAAGAATGTCTATTCAGTATTTAACTTTTTTCGTATAGAAACCTCGTCACACTTTGATGTATTTGTGTAGTATTTGACATATGTGACAATTTTAAGAATGATGGAAATGAATGAGTTGCAATAAAGCATTCGGAGTGTGAGAAAATGAATTAGATTTAATTAAGTCAGATTATTATAGTTTTGTGATCCAATTATGTTATCATTAATTCGTGATTGATGCAATTTCTTATAATTCGAGAGTTGACTAACTATCGTTTTATGTAAGTGAAAGAATTAGTTTCAACAAATTGTGAATTATTTCAGATTTATCCTCTTTGTTGTTTATACTGCATTCTTTCAAAATTTAAAATACAGAGTATTAAAGGAAGATATTTTTTAGGCAGTTTTGTATCACAAAAGGGGATAAGAAAGGGCAACACATTTGCGGTCTTTTGATTTTATTATATTGCTGCGTTTATATTAGTGATGAGATAATTGTTTTAATTGATGTGTAATAATTGCTGTGAAAGATGAAGTAACAAAATGGTAAAGACTGACATGTGGTTGTACATCAACTCAGGGAACAGACGCGTTAATTGAGTAACGTTTGTGTTATGAGATAGCGTTGTACGAAAAAAAGCATGCTTCTACCAAAGATGACTGAAGCGACACTCCTTTGTTAAACCAAATAAATTATGGTGTGTAGCGGAGAGAAGCTATGCGTGAGATATTATCGAATTTATAACATATATGTATATAATAGTTATTATATATATATATATATATATAGATATCTAAAATGCGAAAATGCTGATGTAACAGATTATATCTATATATTTAAATATATCACATGTCGCTAGAGAATCATATTCTTTATCAAGAGAGATCTATACATTTATACATATATTATACATTTATATATATATAATATGTATATTATATATACATATGTTTACATATACCATACATACGTATACATACATATACATGTATATATACATACATGCTTTAAAATTATAAAAGTTATTTAAAGTCACAAGCTTTATAAGTTACATCGGTTGCCTGCAAGAACAAATTTTTTTCTAAGACCATATTATTATGTTACGAACACTCTTTTTCGGGGTTCAAAGGATGTATACATATGTATATGTAAATATTATAAATATATATATGAACACAGTTGAATAAGTCGAAGCTTGTACCATACGAGAGTGCTGTTTTGTTGCTATAAATACGTAAAAGAGACACTTACCTTTGTTACCACTGGTTGTTAAAATATATCATAATGCAATATTTATTTATAAAACGCTGTTTATTATTTAAAACCACCCAACATTCAATCTGAAATTATCCAAGACTATTCTTAAAATAAATTCATAATTGTAAAAATAATTGTTTTTAAGAAATTATAGTAATATGACAGTCTACGAAAATTTATAATTTTTAAAAGAGAAACTCCATATAGAAATATTTTTATGTAATAATTTTTATCACATTTATTGCTATTATCAATATTTTGAAAATTAAATTAAGTATGGAAACAAATATTATTCTTAACGAATTTAATTTTGTTAATATAATATACACTGGGCACAACAAAATTAACGCAACACCTACAAAAATAGGTAAACTTCAAGATAGAATAACTTTATCAAAAATCACCGTATCGAGATGTTTAAAAAAGTAATTTACAGCTTGGAATCTCTACTTTTCAGATTGCTACTTGAAAAAGTGTTCTCACGGAGATTTTATGAAGTCACACAAACATAAATGAAGATATTTCAGATCTCAACATTTTTTACGAAATTTGCGGAGTTCCACGGGGTGGACTAAAAATTGTACGTAAATGCGATTTACATCATTCGAAAGATCGAATCTTTACCTTTAATTTCATCGAGTTATTCAAGCAAAAATGACCCTTTTACTACAACGGTGAATAACTCGGTGAAAAAAAATCGTACGGAGCTTCGCAAAAAAGCAAATTAAAGGTAAAGATTCGGTCTTTCGAATGATGTAAATCGCATTTGCGTACAATTTTTAGTCCGCCCCGTGAAACGCCGCAAATTTCATAAAAAATTTTGAGATCTGATATATCTTCATTTATGTTTATGTAACTTCATAAAATCTCCGTGAGACCACTTTTTCAAGTAGCGATCTGAAAAGTAGAGGTTTCAAGCTGTAAATTGCTTTTTTAAACATCTCGGTACAATAATTTTTGATGAAGTTAGTCTATCTTGAAGTTTGCCTATTTTTACAGAGTGAAACAGGTGTTGCGTTAATTTTGTTGCCTAATGTATTTATACTATAAAATTAAGCAATTAAAAAATTTCTATTATTTTTAACAGAAGTCACATCTACCATTACTGATAAACGCATGAAAAAATTAATAAAGTGGAAAGAGGAACGCAATAGAAGGAAATCAATTTCTATTGCGTTCCTCTTTCCACTTTATTAATTTTTCATGCGTTTATTTAGAAGCTGCAATGAAAAAACCAGTTTTCAAAGTTGGTATTGTTCATCATCCTCTATTTGGTCTTGTACCAATGAAAGAAACGCCATATAAATATATATATGTAAGAGTTGAGCCGAGAAAAAATGTCGAACACTCGAACGCGACACCGGGACTCGAACAGAGGGGCCTCTCGTATATAGTTCGTGAGCCACAGTCTTGCCACAGAGCCATAGCTCGACAGGGAAACTTAGTTGATTTCTTACATATATATTATATGGTTTATACACACATCTACACACACACATATATATATACACATATATATATATATATATCTCTCTCTGGAGACACGGTAGTGTCTCGGTATTATATACACAGGGTTCCAATAACTATTGCCTTCTAATCCATAAGGTGTAGAGGAAAATGTATATGTAACCAAAATTACACGATGTAAAGGGAGCTATCATATGGTGATAATTTTTGTCCAGGTGGAGGTACTTCAGAGATTTCAAGGTCTACTTCGTTTTTTTTAAATGTTTTGTATTTTTTTTCATACTGGTCCATTTAATGTAACAATTGTCAGCAGTCAAGTTGTATCCATGAATGTTCATAGAAGCAGCAATATTTTTCCATACATTTTTGTTCAATTTTTCATAAAAGTTTGTAGAGGTTTCTATGTTTGTTTGTATTTCTGCTAACAATAATTTTGTCATGTCGTCAGTCCATTGAACTCTGCAATTAAATAAATTAAAAAATGTTACTATTTGAATAGATAACAATAATTAAAACTTATATACAAGAAAACAAAACTGTCATTTGGTACTATCTAATAACGATTTGACAATATCATCACAATTTTTTATAACAGTAATTAAAAACAAAGATTAGAAAAATCACTTTTGAAAAGTAACTTGTCACCATTATGCATTATTTATTAAAAAAAAAAAAAAAACTTATTTTTAACGCGCCGAGCTGTTACTTATTTATCTTTAACTCATTCCAAGTAATGAGTTACTATTTATTCCAATAAAGTTGTGATGATGACAAATTAATCTTCGAAAATTATCTTTTTCCATCTTTAAAGTTAGTCATTGTCATAAAAATTTGTAATGTAAATTAACAAATTGTTATTAGAAAAAAAACGGTAAAAGTAATAATGTTATTTTTAGTCCTGCTTTCATATAATTATGTATAATTTAAGAGAAATATACATACCATTGTCTAAGTAATGCGTTGTTAAAGCAGTCCTATAACTGCAAGGATATAAGGGAATGGATGTTTCTTCGAGGATTCCTTTGTAAAGAAAATAATAGATTATTTTACACGTAAAAAACGCAAATGCATAAATCATTCTCACATAAAATTTGAAGAAAGCAGTAAAAGAAGAGAGAAAACAAGTAAATACCGTCTGTATATTCATCTGCTTAGTAGGATCGTTCGCCTCCCGAGAGCAATCTGGTATACGTATCGTTACCAGACTTTTTATCATCCCGTGCATGTTTCACTCGTTCGATATGTTTCTGCAAAGCATATATAAATATATATGTTTTAAGTATTCTCTTGAATAAATAATGGTCTGTAAGGTTATATGAATATTTTACTCACTTTACAACTTTTTTTAATTGAGAGGCAAACTATATGAATGTTCAATCTATATTTTTGATGTTTTTGTGCCATTTGTATCCGTAACTCATTCACACAACCAAACTGAAAAGAGGAAAAAAATTTTAATTTATGAGTACGAGATGCATTATTTAACATATTCTTATTGATATTACTAACTTATTCTTTTATATTTATCTTAATTTTATGGTATCCATTTGGAATGTTAAACCTTCGCACGATTACATTCAAATTTAACGTCTCCTCGAGCATTCGTCGCGATTGGTCGAATGATTCGTTCCGCAACCATTCTAGTACTATCGATAATGGACGGTGCCAATAGCGTCGCGCGACATTGAGCGCGGTTGGTCGGCTCGTGGGACGCGATAGGTCGATCGCGTGGCGTCCCTGAGACGCCGCGGCCAATCGTCGCTCGCGGCGCTCTTTTTTCCGCTTAATGGCGGCGCGAAACCCGGCTTGTGATGTGGCGTCGTCGCAAGCGCATTAATCCCGACCGTTGGCTGGCGCTGCGTGATCCGGTAGTGCGCATTTAGCTGCGAGGTGTGTGAGACGTTGGTTATTGAGGTAGTACGGCGCGTTCGCTCGATCAAGGCACGGTTCGCGTCGACGTTATCAGCGTCGAGTTGCTGATACGCTAAAACACGCTAAAACACGGACGCGCGCCGGTGTTCTCCATTTCTCTCTCTGTCTCGCTCCCCCCTCAGTGTCGGCGAGGGTGTCTAATTGAGAACGGACGCATCGTGCCTCGTACGAGACCCGCAGGCGCGAGAATTCGCGTGTGAAATAGTCGGTGTAATATCCGTAACTACAGAATGTCAACGAAATCGAGCAAGAAGACCGCCGCGGCGGCCGCGGCCGCCGCCTCCGTCTCTTCCGCGACGTCCGCCACCGTTGCCTCGTCGTCATCCTCCAGTATCCAAACGCCGCCGACTACGTCGACGCCGATCAACCGGCGACCTGGTAGTCCGCTTAGCCCGACCCGGTATTCTCGGCTGCAGGAGAAGCAGGATCTGCAGAATCTCAACGATCGTCTGGCATGTTACATCGAGAAGGTGCGTCACCTGGAGACCGAGAACTCCCGGTTGACCCGGGAGATGCAGACCCATCAGGAGACGGTCACCCGGGAGGTCTCCAATATCAAGGCCATGTACGAACACGAGCTGTCCGATGCGCGGAAGCTGCTCGACGAGACTGCCAGGGAACGCGCCAAGCTGGAGATCGACACCAAACGCCTCTGGGATGATAACGAGGACCTCAAGAGCAAGTAAGTCGGGCAATATGCATTCAATATACACGGTGTGTGTATATACACACATAATCTATATATATATATATATGTGACGTTTTATGCTTTGAGTAAAATGATAAGCGTTTTTGCCCGTTGCCTCTTGCTTGCAAAATAGATAGGAAAGTAAGATGGCATTGCTCGGGATCGTTATTGACGAATATCAACGCGATCGAGCGAGTATCTCGTTCCCTGCGACGATGGCTATTGATTCGTGAGAAAAATACTGCAAGAGAGAAAATTAATTCGAATTTCATTTGTCGAATCGTTGAACGCACACGAGGGTGCTGCAGTCGGCAAAGTAGCGAAACTCGGATTCGGATACAATGGAGACCGAGGGAGACGAGCTTGGGGCGTGGAGTATGTATACAGCCGAAATGCAAAACTCCTTTAATTCATGAATCATCGGTACTGAGCTATATTTAATTTTCCTTTCGATAGTCCCGATCCTCATGAGCACGTCTTATTCTGACACATGCGCAGTATAAAAATTAATATGTGCGCAATCGCGCGTCCGCGTGTATCCATAACCTTAATACACAGCTCCATATTTTAAACGTCCTAGTTCTGACCATTTCCTATTTTTGAGCGTTTCTGCAAAACCACCGCCCTTCCCTCTCCGATTATCTCGTATTTTCTATTTAATTGTGCATGCGAAAAAGAATATTTATAATAAAGAGATTGCTTGGCCCTGACAATAATTACGCTGTGTGTGTTATTACAGCTTATCTTCGAGACGGTATTTTTAGATTCGGAACGCGTTTGATATATTCGTGATTCACACGCGTTTCAAGGGACGAAAGCACAATTTCGTAGCCTGACTAATTTTGTTTTACAAAAATGATATGTACACTGGATGTGTTATGAATCGAGTACATAATGACTCATCTAGTAAAAATTTATGCCACTTTCCAGATACCGATGACGCAAAAATTCAAATCTGGTTATATTTATTGAGTTTCTTTCTGTGTACTTGAGATATGCATAATTCCCTGCATAGAAGAATCACAAATTGATGTAGCGTTATAGTATTATTTCAGTATTCATTACGAAGGCAGAGGAAAAAATGTGTTGGTCTATTTTATATAATTTATATATTTACAAGGGTAGATTATAATTTGCTTATTTGTAGTATTTTAGTATACTCGTCATTGAATATTACAGACTGTAGTCATTCTCCTTTCATATTTCTCGACTTCTTGATAATTCCTGGGGAATTATCAGATAAGCGTTACACTTGGAGATTGCACATACTTTACAATACACAATGTGATACGTGTCTACTCAATATCATATCCCAAATAGTACAGTTATTTTTGCTCTATCAGGTTATTATTATATGAAATTATTATAAATATTTCTTGCAATAATTTAACGTTATATCCTATATTTTGCGCATACAAGTTATACAAGAAGCGAATACTCGCACGATAAATAAAGATATTCAACAGGTAATATTCAATGAGTAAAAGTAAAATTAAGTAAAAACGAAAATCTTGAATCCAGTAACGTGGTACAAAGCGCGCGCTGAACGTTCTCGACTCGTTCTGATCGATACTTTTGTGGCACCGCGTCACCTCATTTTCGTGCCAGGCAGTAATGTAGAGTGTGACGGTCGTAAATATAAATTTTCCTTAATCCAGATTCCAAAGGGATTCCGCAATAAAAGAATCGATATCCGCCGAATCTTCTTGAGAGATTACCAAGCAGTGTTGCTCATCCATCGATGCGTCACGTGTATTTTCGCGACAAGTGTGTTTGTCAACAGAGTTTAAGATCTCCAAAACGATGCGTCAAGATTGGTTATCCGCCGGACCCTCGGGGCGAGGGGAAGCAAAAACAAAGGAAACGTGCGACAGAGTGCGACAGAATGTGACAGAGAGAGGAGGAAGTAGTAGGGGGAGAAGAAAAGAGAGAGCGCAGGTGATCGAAAGGACAAGAGAAAAGAACGTTTATGTAAAGAGGAAATAATTTTCGGCGTGAGCGCGCCGCCCGGCCTCGGAGAAGCATGAACGAAGCCGGGGCTTCTCCGTAACGTGACGTTACTACGAGCGGTTGCGTCACGCTTACTATGCGGCGGTGATGTCAGTGCCGGTGCTTTATAACACCTGACCTGAAAACATTGACTCCGATCCCGCCGGCCGTCACGTACGACCCCGCGACTAACAAACAAGGATTATACGTCGGGCGCGTTTTATTCGTCGTTGAAACAATCGATCCTTCGACCCGCGCGCGAGGAGTGAAATTTTTCCGCTATAAACTTACACCCTCCTCCTCCGCTGTCTCTTCTTCCTCCTTTCTCCTCCGTGATTATCAGAACTTCCGCTTTATGAGAACCGATCATTGGAACGACGGGGGGGTCATTCGATTTTTCACGTTTGTTCACTGGAAATTGATGGAAGACGACAGCAAGGTGTGGAAGAAATGGAAACAGTAATAAAGGATGAAGTAATAATAAAAAAAAAAAACAATAATTTTTTACTAAATCCCCTAGTCATCCGTGAGATTTTAATAAAATCGAGAGTAGACGAAGAAAATAAGATTCGCTAATGTAACGCTTTTTGTTATTCGTGTCAAATACACGTTACGCACAATTATTTTGTACGCGTAAAAGCGATAATTCCGCGTTCTAAATAATTATCGCCGCACGCGCTATATTTTCTATAGTTACTATAGATTACGAACTTGTTCGATTGATGTTTCACGACGAAATTACGGTATTTCCCTGCGACTTACTCCGGTTTATACCGTTACGACTGCAACACACATCATTCCCCATAACGCGTCTACAGTGCTCAACTTACGTGAATAGAGTAAGATTGGTTGACGGGGGGAAAGGCTTAGCAATTCAAACTTTGTTCACCTGCATTTTCGACGTTTCCTCCCCAAAACAGATATTATTGAACGATTATTATTGCATGAAAATCAATATTAGTTTGATTTGTACACTTGGCGGTAAATATCTTCATATGTATGAAGTTGCCCGCATATAGGGGCATATTTGAAACGATTGCTTTCTATTTATTTAGATATTAACGTGTCTGAATATTAGACTCGTTATTTAAAACTTTAGTTATTTGAGAAATGTGTAATATTAATATTATTTATTATTATTATTTATTTATAGTTATCGATTCGTCAAATTAAATATCCTCAGTTACCCGAAAACAATCGTTTCTTGAATAATCAGCACGATGCGCGAATATCTAGACAGGAAATATGCGGCCCGTATCTAACTCGATTATAAGTGCAACTTTATATATTAAGATGTTTATGTCTCCCATATGTACATTAATTATACATCGTATATTATTTGTAAAGTCAGGTTGAGAACCTCTGAGAGATAGTCACGGAGAGATTGTCAAGCTCATTTTCATGTTAAAGATCGTGGTGTTTTCGAAGATGACAACGCTATAATTTTTCAGTAAGGTAGCATCACGGCTTTACTATCTTATTTTTGTTATTATTGATGTTATGCGTCGACTATATCGTCGCGATTCTTTCGTCTCCATTATATTTGGAACCTTCGTGAAAAGAATTGTGTCAGCGACCAAAATTGTTGAAAATATACAGCGTCTTCATTATATGACAGACGGCATTCGAATGTCTCTTTATCTTTCTCTTTTTCTAGCATCCGCAAATTTAGTGGTCCTTGAATGAGCAAAAAAGATTGTAGCATATGACGCGAGCGTCTTCTAATAGAAAACTTGATCATTTAGGAATATTTAATGGATACTTAAGAATATTAATATTTATGAGAATATTAATATTTAAAAATATTTAATGATAATTTAATGATAATTTGCATTCAAGAAATATCACAATTTTCTCACTAGAAATTTTTAAAGCAATTTGAATTTTTCTTTACATTTTAAAACGTAAAGAAAATAATAGATTATTAAATGCAAAATGGAAATAATATTTTTGAGAGAAAAAAATAATTATAAATTCGTCAAAAAGTTTGAAGTATTATTAGTGTTCTTTAAACTATTATCTAATACTTCTTTTGCGAAAACTTCGTATTTTGCATTCTTGACAATGAGGAAGATTCTTTGAATTTTCCTGAAAAGAAACATCTTGTTCAGTTTTTTTATTCGCTAAAAGTGCAGTAACGTCGCTGTTCAAATCCGTGATCCAATTAATCAATGAGGTAATACATTCGCGCATTCCTTGTGTGACCGGCGATACGCATGAAAGCGCGAGACGGTCGTATCTGTACTTCGAGGTCAGCGCAATGCCAATAATCTCGAATTCCAAACGTCACGGATAAACCGCGGCGAAAAGAGCTGAAGGACACACGTTTTCGAGCAAATTCGAAATTTTTGAGGTCCACGGATCGATTACTGATGCCTGAAAGCCGGTGAAATCGTGGATGACATCACGCGGCTGATGTCAGCCATTTTAGCAATGTCAGGCGTCGCGTGAGGCCGGCGTTGCACGCGAACAGGCGCGTGTAAAATCTCGCCATTTTCGGAGTCGCACAAGGGCCACGATTTATAAGTTCAAGAGCGTATACGTGTCGCGTGCAACACGAACGAACGACCGGCGCAGCCCTTCTCACCTGGATAAAGTCCTAGCTAGGATCTGTACTTTTGAGAAGTTAAAGGAGGAGCCAGCATATAAATTCAGAATCGAGGATAATATCAGAATTACTTATAAATCAACGATGTCTTTTTAATTTTACTTTGGAATTGCAATATTACTTTCTTAATGAGATAATCGTACCGTGTATATATATATTGTTTTTTTTTTTTTTTTTTTTTTTTTTTTTTTTTTGGTAAGAGTTTAGCTTGTGGAAAAACATTAAAAAATTTATTTAAATGTGTATAAAAATATAATATATTTTTATTGATTATGTACATATAATTGAAGATTAAACACTTTTAATCGAGCTTTTAATCTTCAACGTTTCAATTCATGCAACGCGAAAGTATTTATTTATGTAAAATGACAAAACTCCAGCGATTCGCGGCTAAACTTGACCCGTGACACTGTAATGGATGTCGCGTACATAGCTGGATGCATATGACGTTGCAATATAATATAATAAAATATTTTATTATCTTTAATTTATTTTAATTTAATATAATAACTATGTAATTAAATTTAAAATGATTTTATTAATACTTTTCTATTTTAAATTTAATTAATTAGTTATTATATTAAATTAAAATAAATTAAAGATAATGAAATATTATATTATATATGTATGTTGCAAGTCTTCTGAAGCGTCTCGTCGCCTCGCATTTTGTACCGATTAGTCTGCGAGAGAACTTGAGGGCGACGACCATCACCCTCCTGCTAAGAACCGTATGAACCTCGAGACTCCCTTCCTTGGCAATTGTTTAGAGCAGTGGTATCCAACTTTGTCTTGGGCTGGTAACGACACATGGCGTCCACGGTTCTACAAGAGAGAAACAGAAGGGTTAGCAATGTGACAAGAACTTTAGTATCTACTGTTATCTTCTTTCTATTGCATTTTTACGATGTATGAGTATAGTTCACAAAGAGCAATCTGGAGCGTATCTTTTCATTTCTTTCAAATGGTTTATCGCCGATTATTTATTATAATATATTTACTACGAAGATATATATATATATATAATTTCTATTAAATTATCAGTAACTAAATAAAGTACATAATTATATTATGAAAGATTTAATATTTAACTATAAAAATCGTTATAATATGCAGTCTACAGAAAATTTTATTTCATTAAAGATTCACATATTTCCAGCTTGATACCGTTGGATATTGTATGATCATTAGCTTAAAGTCGCCATAAGTTAATTAACAGTCGACGCACTTCTCGCGATGGCGAGAGCGTATGCTTTCCGGAACGCATGTTCATTTCTTGCCTTGAAAATCGGGCGAGGGACGAAGGCGAACGGACGAATATTAAAGACACGTCCGGGCCACCGACAGAAAATAAAATTCTCAATGTGGGTCGTGCATCGCTTGAAATAGAAGCGCGCGCTCTCTCTTACCCGCCGGCGTGCGGCTTCCTCCTCGTGAACCGGCACGGCCGGCGCGGTATGTCGTAAATAAAAACGAATTTGTATCAGAATGCCGATTACATCGTAACGAACTTGCACGTTGTGTCTCATAAAAGTAACACATTGTCTGCACATTATCTATATAATAGAGAAATTTCGCGGAATGAAAGTACATGCAGATAACGCGATAAATAATTAAATTTACAATATTCAATACTAAGGACCGTTAATGTAAGAACATAACTAATACGAAGCCTATAAGTCTAGCTATTTAGTTTAATTTATCTTTTAATTGTTACTCTCTCTCTCTCTCCCCCTCCCTCCCTTCCTCTTTGTTATTCCTCGTTTTTAATCCCCGAATTAATGTAAAACAAGAATTTGTGGTAAGCTGTCTATGATGTTTTCTGAAGATGCCATAGCGGGAAAAATGATTTTACAAGAATAGATGTCATCATTCGATGTTGCTTCTTTTAAGGCAGTAGGCCAAGGATAACAAGACGATGTTGGTTCTGAGAATTTTATGTCCAAAGAATCTTCGTAGAAACACTCGGTTAATGAAAAATTCACTTTATAAATTCTCGAAAAAATTTGTTTTTGCGTTTTGGAATTAAGACGTTAAAATTTTCTGAATCAGAAACTACATTTAACTTTCTGTTAGAACTTTGTCCAATTTGACTAGTATATCTGTTTACTTAGCCAGTAAAAAATAAGGTATTATTTAAGAGAATTAATAGGGTACATATGTATATTTTTTGTATTATAATAAATAATATTTACCATTATACAATTGAACGTATACGTTGCGGTTTGTAAACTTCTTTCATTCATGTAAAGATGTTAAGACAATCTTGGCAAGCAATAGCTACTAAAAAATTACAACTGGTTGTTAAAGAAATATAACAGAAATTTAAAGATATTATAATGCTAATACAAATAAACGCTATATAATTGATATTTATTGTTTGTTTTAGATTGGACAAGAAAACAAAGGATCTACAAATATCAGAACGAAATGCAATGATATTCGAGTCGCGCTGCAGTGACTTGCAGTCGCAGTTTAATCAGTCACAGGCAGAGCGCAAGAAGTTAACTGAGAAGGATCGGGATTCGGAAAAGGAAATAGATCGATTGAAAGCATTACTGGACGACGCTCGTAAACACCTGGAAGAAGAGACTCTTCAGCGGATTGATCTCGAAAATAATATTCAGAGCCTCAAAGAAGACATCAGTTTCAAGGATCAAGTTTTTCAGCAAGAACTTACAGAGACTCGTTCGAGACGACAAGTAAGTGATTACTTACAACAATATGATCAAGCCTCGTTAGATTGTACTGTCATAAATATATGTATATTAGTTTTAAGAAAAATTTTTTATTAACATTGGCAAACAATGAAAAAGATTTTGAACATAAAGTTTTATTGAAAACAACTATTCAATTTTATTGTTTGTAGTTATACAGTATATTATGATATTTATCAACTTTTGATTATGTAAAAATTTATAATTTCCGTCTATGTGTTTTATGATAAATAAACCATTTATTGTTATCTTTAAAAACACTTAATGAATTTTATTTTAATGTCAATGATATAATCTATAATCTGACTGGAAAAAGAAAAAAGATGAAAGATAAGTTAAATTTTTGGTTGATATAAGAACTCCCAATTTCAATATAATATTTCATTGATCTTTTAGTTAATTTTTCGGAATAATTTATATTATAATTGTATTTTAGGTCGAAATATCGGAGATTGACGGTCGTCTCGCGGAGCAATATGAAGCTAAACTACAACAATCCTTGCAAGAATTACGCGATCAACATGAGGCGCAAATGCGTGCTAATCGAGAGGAGATTGAGCTTTTATATGAGAACAAAATCAAGAATTTGACCTCTCATGCTCAACGTAATAGTGGAGTCGCCAACATGGCAACCGAGGAACTGAGACAAACTCGCTCTCGAAACGAAGGGCTTAATTCAAGAATTAACGAACTCGAAGCAACCAGCAATGCCCTTAATTCACGCATTAGGTAATCTTTCTTTATAAAATTTTTTGTTTATAAAAAAGATTTATGTTAAGTGAAAATATAATTTCTTGAAGTCCACAACTCTCATATTATAAGTTTTACTTCGAAATAAAAAAAACACGATGTATAATATATAGAAATTAAAGACTAGAAGAAGAAATTTTTTGATATATTATTTTTATATAAATAATATTTATTTATAAGTATAAAATAAACGTATAAATAATATAAAATCTTGACAGGGACATGGAAAATGCAAGAGAGAACGAACGTTCTCGTTATGCAGACAGTATGGCTGCAATGGAAGCGGAATTATCACGTATGCGAGAGGAAATGGCTCAACAATTACAAGAATATCATGATCTTATGGATATTAGAGTAGCGCTTGATTTGGAAATAGCTGCGTATCGCAAGCTGCTCGAAACCGAAGAGGCGAGGTAAATCAATATCACAATTTCTGTAAATTTTAATAGAAAATATTACGTATTGACTAGAGTTAACTTATGTAAAACAATTAAAAATTAATGTCGAGTTCAAAATAAATAAAATCAATTATATTGATAATATAATAGTGCTAAAAAATAAAAAACCAATATTAAAATGTCAAACTTAAAAATTTTAATAAACATTTCGATCTTACGTTTTAGGTCATCTTCAGTACAAATTTAAAGTTATGAAATTTAAATATATTAAATTGGATTAAAATCTAAATCGCCATAATGTAATTAAATGCATTTTATAGTTAGTATATTAATTAATATAATTAATGCAAATTTACTAGAATATATACAAATATAACGAAAACCTTAAGACTTCATGGCGTAAAAAATAATTATTATACTGAAAAAAATTATGTTGTATCAACAACATTATCTTAATTGAAAATAATTTTGTTAATTCAGTAAGACTCTAGTAATAAAACAAATACTTATGCTCTTGTTTTAATAACATTTTATTTATTTCATTGATACTATTAAACCAACAAGATTGTTTTCAATTAAAATAATGCTGTTGAAATATCGTTTTTTTTCTCAGTATACAATTTTATGGCATTTTTTAATAATAATTGCTACATTGTCAAAGTATGTATTCAATAAAATAGAGACTTTGAATTATCTCATGTTGGAAAAAAAATATAGTGAAAAATGAAAATATTAACATTATAAACAGAGCAGTGTATAAAGGAATTTGAATTTTCAGTGTCATTTCGTATGTCTAATTCGTTTGTTTATGTTTGCGAAATGTTTTTCATATTAATCTTTTAGAATTTTTTCTTTATCCAATATTAAAATATTATTCTAATCCAATCGATGTTCTGTTATTATCGTATTTCTGTTTATATGTTTCTATATTCATTATGTCTGATTTTTAAAAGTGTTTTAAATTTAGCTAACATATGATGCATCACACTCTTTCTTTTTTACAATTTATTCTGTATACGATATAATTGAGACATTGGAGGGAGTCCGTCTTTTTGTAATCTTAATAAAATTTCTTAATTTTTTCGAACATAAATAGGTTATATTAATGGTTCTACTTAAAAAAAAAAAATGTCGAATTTGTCGGATAGAGAGAAAAAAGGGAATAGTAATAAAAATACTTTATTAAATTGACATTTTAATAAATTAATACACGAAAAATTAGTCCTAATTCTCTTTATTGATGTTATTGATATAATCAATTTATACGAATTTATCTCAATTCCAGATTGAATATTACACCTATGCAGTCGACGAACACGTCTAGATCAACTCCGTCCAGCAGACATACTCCTCTCAGAAGTGGCAAACGAAAACGCACTTTGTTGGAGGAAAGCGACGAACACAGCAGTAGCGAATATAGTGTTTCAGGTACTGCCAGGGGTGACATGGAAATTACTGAAGCGGATCCCCAAGGACGATTCGTAAAACTTACTAATAAGGGCAATAAGGTAAGTAAATAGAACTTATCGAGATCCAGCGGTGTGCGTTTTAGTTTCATTTAAGGTAATTCTCACTTCTTATCGAATATAACTTTTATAATAGGAAATAAGCTTAGGCGGGTGGCAAATTACTCGTAAATCCGGTACTTTGGAAACAATCTTCAAGTTTCATCGTAATATAAAGCTCGATGCAGGTGCTAACGTGATGGTATGGTCAGCTGATATTGGCGCAACGCACGAGCCACCTTCTAACATTGTTATGAAAGGTTTGAAGTGGTTCATAGGAGATAACATGACTACTATATTGACCAATATCGAAGGAGAGGTATGTTATTTATTGTACATTTGATTCTTAGATACATGTTTCCCTTTATCAGTATAAATATTTTAAATCATTTTTGTAAAATAATGTAAGACTTGTTGAATGAGGTAGTTAAATTTAGATATTTTCGACAGTATAATATATTGTACTTATACAACATCAGACCATGTAAAATCGGCTCTGTTATGCATCTAAGGGTTAATTTTATATTGAGTAAGATAAGATACAAGATTAAGTAAATTTTTTAATAGGAAATGGCAACTTCTGAGCGCAAGAGGCAGCAACTGTCCACAACTTTGTCCCGACACAGAGAAAGCTTGGGATTCCGATCATCAGAAGATCTCCATCATCAACAGGTAAGGATGCAATAAACATTTTATTGCATTATAACATTATGTTGAATGTGTAGTGAAACGAAAGCTTTAAACTACTTTTCGGAATTAAAACAAAACTAGATTTTAGAAAAAAAAACAATTAAAAAAGTGGGATGTAATAATAATATAACGCTGATACGTATTAGTGTTATATTTTAACTGCAGCATTATTTTGATATATTACACACCGACACATAAAATCTAGCAAATTATATAGCAGCGCAATTATTATAAAAAACTTCTATACTTTAGAAAACTAAAAACATATGTTAATCAGTAACATAATAAATCTTGGAAGTCATGCTTTCTAATTTTTAAACGTCGAAGAAGACAATGTGGCTATTATATTTATTTCAAGTGTTTAAGGCATTACAGAAGTTAATTTAATATTTACATACCGAATATATATAGTACACAATCAGATATTATTTACTTTCTATTTGTTTCTGAAGATTTGTCGTATACAGAATAAGTGTTGCAGTTATAGATACTACTTTGGAGTGTAGTATTTTCACAATTCACTTCTTGTTTCATAGAGAAGATATCTCTACCCGTATTAAGGGTGAGGGCACACGACTCTGATGGGCACTTTATGTAAGTTGTTTTATAACCTATCAGATGTTCGAACGTTACGTTATCGATAATATTCTTCGCACTCATAATATATAAGAATTATTTTGCTTCATATTGATTTTCATGCAACATTTTGCCTGGATGCTCACCGCTTAACTAAAATTTCATGCCTTATGAGAATTAATATATATATATATATATATATATATAAACACATATATTTATATATATATATATATATATAATAATCTTCGTTATATATATAAAACTGTGATCATCCCATTAATTAACCACATTGTCTTTAATTAAGATATTATCAAATGTTATCTTATACGTACACAATACTTAAAGCTTTCTTTCTTACACGGGATTCAACCTCATATTGATAATAACTTAAAGAAATTTTGATTGTATTTTTGTATGTTATCAACGTTTGAATATTCTAAATATATTTTACGAATGCAAGATCCTTAGATTGAATTTATACGCAAATGCAGCTTTTATATGGAGCAAAATTGCATTTGCGAATAATGTGATTGATCAATAGATCGATTTAAAAAATTTATCATTCTTATATTGCATTTGCGGTGAATAATCGAAATTTTCATCTTTTAACATTATAATAAATCAATTGTTCCCGCGTTTCATGATATCATTAGTATAATATTATATTATATATATCGGATTAGTGTTGAGAAAGAGTCATTTGTGAAGTTGTATGTGCTTTAGTTAGAATGCGAATGGTAAAAACATTTACAAATAACATAAGTCTGATTTAGCATATTTATGTGTATTCTATACATTACTATACATATATTAATACAATAATATAGATTATTGTATGCAAAAGATGTAAAAAAATGTTTCCGAGAGATATATCATATTTTCTGCATATGCATATTTTTTTCATCGTGTGAATATAACAATAAGATTCATTATTTGCTTATATCTGTGACTAAACGAATATGTCGACATTCATGTAATGGATTAAGTAAACTGGGGTCCACGGTGATTGCTCAATTATTTTATGTTTTTTTTGTTTCTTTTTGTTAATAAGACATTTGTACGTTTTATGTTTCAGAGCGATCCCCAAGGCGAAGAACGTTGCCACATTATGTAAACATAAATTTATCATAAATTTAAGAATATCAAAAGATTTTAAAAGCTTGTATGAAATGCAGCTTTGTTCCGTAAGCACCGTTTAGAAAGGGTGAAAATAAAAAAAGATTATGCCATTAACACAAAGAAATTAATTTAGAGTACAATGTTAGAGATATATGAGATACAAAAATTCATTTGTCCGATATTCGCTTCGAAAAAAAGAAAAATAAAAGAGAGGATAGCAATCTTCGTATTTTCTACTTTTATTCTTTTTTCTCTTCGAGTTGAATATTGAGTTGAAACATTTATATAACTTTCCTTACACATTTATGTAATAGAATTATATATATATATATATATTATATATGTATACATATTTGAGAAGATATTGTATAATGCATTTGGACCGACAAGAGTTCAAATCAAACTTAACAAATGGGTTTCGTGATGTGAATGAAATACGTTTTTTTTGCATTTATCAATCTATTTATTACAAAAAAAAATAAGAAGAGAAACTATGCTGTTATGTTCTGTTAAATCCACAGCCATAGAATGAGTAACAAGTAAAGACGGATATTTAATGTTGTACGTTTGTATTCAGCAAACTTCCTGTCCATGGTATATACCATGTTATAAATTCACGATTACTACCATTGCGTTTGTCTGTGCTCCTATTAAATTGTATTGAAGTAGCAATGCTTCGAGTGTTCTAATTTTTAATTTCTTAATTTATAATAACTGTTTACATTTATGTTTGTTTATTTCGTCCAATAGGAAAACATTAATCAATAAAGCGATTGGATTATATACTAGTATTTGTTTTTTTTTTTTTTTAATTACAATAATAATGTGAGACTGTAGGAAAACTAAATATGATAGATGTACGACTATCAATTAGATGGACAGTTTTACTTCTCAGTGAACGCCGAAGAAAACGCTCGATTAAATGTTTGATTGAATATTATTTCCACTTTCCGATTGAATAATATTTAACTAAACACTGTATATATGCCAATGGATAAAGGAGCGTATTCTTCGGTTGTGATAAACCGCGAAATTGTGCATCAAATTGCACAAATATTGCCAATGTTCAGTTGATCTTTCTACAGAATAATTTCATGAAAAGTACAGAAAACGTATTTGTTCCTACAATCATGCCCACCTATGCATTCAACATAATTTTTCTTAATTGTATTCAGCTTTATATCATTTATACTAATAATAAAATTACAAATTAACGTACAAATATATTCGTAATTGTTATTTTTCACGATAGTGACAGCAGCTGTTTTTAGGCGAACGTTAAGTTAGGGTAAGTTTTTTAATATCATTAAAAGAACCGAAAATATTTGAACGGACAAACTGTTCGTATTATGTATATAAATCGGTTAATTACTTGTACCCGATTTATAGGGAAAAATTTTCTCTTTATATAAGAACGCTATTTTATCATATTGAAAAGATGCACTTTCGTGTAAATCATTAAGAGTCGATAGATATTTTCAATGTTAGTTCAATTTTGTAATAAAACTCATCAATTTGAAAATGTATTCTGCCAATAAAATTGTCTTGTTTCGTCAGTTTCTGTATGAACAGTTCATTTTCTCCATCTTAAGGATTTTTATTCCAAATAAACTATTTTTTTCTCTTTTCAGATGATTTTATTTCCTTTCAATTTTTTAGGATTTTCTCTTTTACTATTTAAATGAGGCAGAGCATGAAATAATTTTTATCGACAAATATTATTGAAATAAGAGGATTTAAAAAAATCTTAGAATATATCTAAAGACATGGCTCGATTTTTAGAACAAAAAATTGAGCTTTTTAATTAAAAATTTGTTTCGCTAAATATTTTGAAAAGTTTCGATATATGTATAAAGATATTTCCATATAAAAAAATGTGTATCATATTAAACAAATATAAGTCATTAATCTTTACAAATAGATATTGTTACAATTCCTTCAGTGTTCGAGTTAGAAATCTTGAATATGTGTCAAGTGTCATTTGTCAACACTAGTAAAATCTGAGAGTAGTTTGGATTCTTAAGAATTAAATTTCGTTGAAGATAATTTTATTGGAGTTTTATTAATATCTCTGTACATACAATACATATACAAAGGTCCTTCATATATATTAAAAGATAACGTGAAAATTAGTATAAAAGTTCTTTGACATATCGTAACGCGTGCATCACATTTACGTGATGAGTGTTGCGTTATTTCGATGGTATAATTATTCTATTCGCTTTACGATATTATGATGAAATGAAAAATGATCATCTCTGCACCCGTATGAAATAAATATTAGGAACTAAGTTGGGCAACATTTCGCATCCACGATACGAATTTGTAATATTTCACATTCTTAAAATGGATTGTGGCTTTGTACCGACATATGTATGTATAGGGGAGACCGGGGCAAGAGATGGCCCATGATGCCCCGATGTGTCTAATATAAAAGACGGTGAATATAACATCAAAGTAAACAATAAATGATTACCTGCACTGCAGAGAAAATGTGGAAAGATGTGTAAAATCACGTATGTAACTCGTAATAAGTATATTATACTTTGTAGAAACAACGTATAAGAAATTGTGACTGGTAAAATAATCGCTTTCGCACCACGAGATTCTTTAACAGCATGTGTACGGAAAGATAATGGAACTAAGGGAAGTGGATCACTGCCATTTAGATACATAGTATGGGCAACTAAGGCTGTGTTCCGTTTTCACTGCAAGTAACTCTAAAAATCTATAGTATACGTAATGCAAATTATAAATTTTTAATACTTGCAGTGTATAACAGAACGCATCCTAAATAGCAATCATATGATACCAATTGCACCAATCTAAACATTCTGGATTTCCCTAAACAGTCAATGACCCATGGTACTCCGTGACCCATGGAGCTCCAGTCTCCCCTATATTAGGCACCCTCAAGTAAGGGATCAGACAACATCGTGAAAGATGAGGATTGGCTGACGCCATTAGTGGGATACTTCCGTTGGTTAGATTAGTATGCTTTCCTTTTAGAGGACACACTCGACACAAACGTCGTTCTATCCTTCTTGACATTCAACGAATGATAAAGATAGAATGATCTTTGTGTCGAGTGTCTTCTAAAAGGAAAGCATACATCAGCAAGTAATTACTGATTTAGTTGCTCAGTACTGTTTGTTTAAGATGTAGATATATTATACGTATGTACGGTTCGACAATACAGTTTATTTTTTTTTTAATCATTGCGAAATGCGATACTGTGAAGTTCCAAATTGCAAAAATTTAAGTAGATCTCCCACAAGAAGAGAAAAATGGATAATCTATCATGCTTCTGGTCGTGTCGGTTAGACACTTAAAAAGTATTCTGCCTTATGTAATATAAGTAGATATAATATTATATAACTATATCATATAATATACATATATAATTATCATATTTACCACATATTAACGTAAAGACAGGGAGCAGTTCACAAAGTTCTTAACTATGTTCCGTTTCACATACGATGCGCAGGATTTATCCTTTTATTCTAGCTTGTTTAATACAGGTCTTAATAACAATGCATTTTAATACTCCTGCGCATTAACTAACGTACTTCCAATATCCCTCTAATGGCGATGTTGTCTGATCCCTTACTTGAGGGTCTCTACCCTATATATTATAAAGTATGAGTTATATGAATATAACTTAACTTTATCCTTTACACTGTATATAATAATTTACAGTAACGTACCTACGTATCCACATAATGGAAATGTTTCAGAAAAACAGAAAGAAGAAAATTAATTTCGTGAAATAAAATTGCATAGATTTTACCACTCTACTACAATGTAATGTTGTATATACTATATATATTTATAAATAAATACACAAAAGCTTACCTATTCTTAGTTTACGTAAGAAATAAATAAAAATGTCATTATATAAAATTGTAAAATAAATGAGACAGAATTCTGACAAGAAATAAAATCAACATTATGTCATTAATACTTGGATAAAAGAATCCACTTTGTCGCAATATTCTTTGAAAGAAAACTCTTGTTTAAGTACCGTGCAATAAATGTCACCCTTCGCGTTGCTATTACATTTACAAAAGCACGATAATGAGCGCGATCGGTTTCCAAGATTTGTTCGACCAAAATCAAAATCGATAGTTTCTATCGTCGCAAAGAGTATAGTGAGATGAATATATTCGTTCAAAACACGCAGAGTTCTTGAAAATCCATCACATTCACATAGATCTTATATGTATATATCGTAACCATTATATATATATATATATGTGAACACAATATAGAACATTTACACATTTTATAAGTTAACACGTTTATATCTTGTAAGCATAGTCTTTACGAAGTTCCGTTGGTTACTTTCGATGGCTGCGCTTCTCTTCGGAGTCTTAAGTAATCTAATTACTTAAGTAAAATCTAATCACATTTCGCTCCATATCTTGGATGGTAACGAATTTATATTATACTATTGTTCATATGCTTTATGAGGCTAGTGTATATCTCATTTCTTTTGAAAACTTGTAATATCTTTGAAAATGGCAGTCACGCGCCAGAAAAATTCGAACTATAATCTCACATTTATTAAATATGTGAATGTAAATGTATATTAATCAGATACAAACTGTTAGGCACGTATCTGTCGATATATCCAATTAAATTCTCTGAATCCGTTGATTAAACTCTCAATAAATACCAACAGGTATCTCAAATACTTTGAACATCGTTAATTTTTTTTCAAAGTCGATAACTCCTTAACTTTTATTTCCTCATGGTTCGTGTAAAGCTGTACTCTCGGCATCGACACAAGATTCTCTACAATTTTTATTGTTGTACATTTCGGCGATTATTTCACGAATTACCGGTTGTCAGATTGCTATTCAATAATTCAGTATTGGCGTTGTTCGCTGCTAGCTGCTGTTGTTCTTTTTGCTTCCTGCGTCGCCTGCGATTCCGCTTGTGCACACAGCATAGTACTATGAAAACGATGAAGAGAAATCCCGAGACGCACGAGATTACCAGTATCCAGACTGAGCGAGCCTTTTCAGTCTCCACTTGCTGCTGTATGATGGTCGAACATTGGTCATATAATTCATATGTTCGATTGCTGAACTGCACATTGGCGCAATCCTCGGCTACGGTCTCCGAGTTGGTGCAATTGAAGAAATTAGGCTCCATCTCGATCTGACGTAGCCTCACCCAGGCGTTCAATATCTCACATTCGCAACCAACGCTCTTGAACTTGATCATATTCCGCGAAAGATCGAGCTTCTTCAACGAACAGAATGGTGCCAGATCCTCAGTATTGACCGAGGTGATCAGATTCTCAGATACATTGAGGGTGACAAGGGTTGGTTGAGGGCCGATAGATGGGATTTTGGTGAGCTTATTCCTGGTCAACTGTAACAGCTTGATGGGCGAAGTAACTTCCACCTTGAACACCGAGTCGCTAAGCTTGTTGTTACCGAGGTAAAGCGTGCGGAGATACGGTAGTTGGAAGATACTCTTGGGCAGAGTGTCACAACCGTTTTGTGAAATATCCAGAACTTCTAGATACTTCTGTTTGGCAAAGGCTCCTTCTTCGATATTTTGGATAAAATTGTCAGTCAGATAGATGTAGGCTAAGTTCTTGTAAGAGGTCAGACTGTCGTTTGTCAACTCCCTCAATCGATTCACGGTAACATCCAGTATCTATAATAGAAATTTCCATCAAATTATTAATCAAATAAGACATGTACATAAAAGCATTAAAAAAGAGGAAGGCATATGTTTATAAAAAGATTCTCTGCATAAATAAAAATAAAATAAATATGGAACATCGTTCAATTAAATTGGATTGAAAACCGTTAAAATCTTATATAATTTCAATATTCAGTAATATCAGAGTTTGGTAATAGGTACATTAATTATTACAAAAAAATAATAAATATACATATGTATATGTAAGTATAATAAAATTAATAAACTATAATATTATTTTCAATATCTATGATTTCTAAAGACACGCAGTGTTTTCTAAATAAAAATTATTATATCATTCACGTTATTTATCAGATTTCTGTTAGTAGAAACGTTTCGAGATAAAAAAATTCCGCTGAACGGAAACAGGTCGGAATTTATCAATAAGATCTTTGTTTCTCCGTAAAGATGTACTTGTCAGATTAGACGATCGACGAGAAGAATTAATGGCGTAGCTAACTCAATAATGCAAGAACGCAAGATATTAGGACGACGAATAATGGTTTCTTTGACGTAGCCTCTTGATATGTAAACGCAATGAAGAGATATATATATATGAATCCTTTTCTGCTTTTTATTTATACATTAATTTAATAAACCTTGCATGCAACTTTTTGCTTACAGTTTCTCGATATCAATCGTACCGTTCTATAAAATTTACAAGTAAGTCTCACCGTGTCATAAATCATAATCATAATGATTAATTTACTTATTTTGTATAATATTATGAATATTAGATATTTTCAACACGATTCCTATTAAGATGAGATAGATTTTTTAAAAAGATATTATTTTCTGTGTTAACGTTGGTTTACATCGCGCAGACACACCTAACTTTGAAATTAGTATGTCTGGTATTTCTGCGAACATTAAATTCTACGTACGTGTCAGCTTTGTCGATTGAATGTATAAACAGCTCTTTTATGCGCGTTAATTCATATATGTGGTTGCACAGATTTACATGAAATTCTCACAAGTGCACATTAATGGTGGATTTTACGACGTAAGTTAATATTGCCTTTAATAACAATTTGATACAAAGTGAGTGATTCAACGACCAAAAAAAGGGGTTCTAACAAAAGAACGAAAAAAGGATTATATTAAAACAAGTTTTGTTTAAAATTTAAAGTTTTGTTTGAAAACTAAAATATTGTTATCGAAGATATCGAAATCTTTTATAAAAACTTATTTATCGACACGAAGTGTTTCTTGAATAAAACTCAATTATTGGGTCAGGTCAAAGAAAATTTATAATGAAATTGCTCTCGGTTTCCCATCGGAACATCCGATACGAAAGATCAAATGTTGGAGCATCGGTAATATCATACACGACTAAAATTTCTCAAGTTATTGCGGAACGCATCCATCCTCGTGACCCTGGACAACCCAATCTCCGGATTTAGCATGCTGGAGTTTTGCCTGGGATTCATCGGGAGGCAAGTTTACCAACCAAAGTACGAAAGTATAGTAGCAGACGTACGGGGGATTTACAGGATGCGGTCGTATCGGACGGGCAATTGAAGGAAGAAAAAGAAAAATAGTAGAACATGGTATGGAAAACGCATTTCGTAAAACGGTGAAAAGATTTAAGCTCCGGAAAGATGCATACAGAAATACCATATTTCGTTAGATTATAGCTACAAAGGCTTTGCGTTGTGATATTGTAAGAAATACCCGAGACGGGAGAAAGTGATTAATTATTCGCACATAAAGTCGCTAACAATGTACGAATTAAAGGGCCCAAAAATAGATTTATCATCGCTTTAGCATTACATAAAGCCATGAAGCGCGTAATTTATTACCGCAAAAGAAATATCATTAAAAATAGTGATCAACAAAGGCGTCTCCGAAAAGGTATCAACAAGTATATACGTTTTATCGTCGACATTGATAAAGCGAAACTTCTGTAATGTTATTATGAAGTACGCGTTACAAGACAGCGCACGCGTTAACCTGCTGGGACATCAATCCGTCTCGCAAGTCAGTCTTGTGCATCCTTTGTAAACTAAGGTTGCCAGATTTACCTCCTTTGATGAAAATAACATGAAGTAAACAAGAGAGCAAACATATGATGCTCTAAAAATTGTATTTTTTAAATAATTCTATTTTGTTTAACGTGTGGTCTCAGTAATAAGAATATACCAATAATATATAAGAGTTAAGATAATAAAAATATAATTGAGAAATGACTGTACAAAAGAAATAGTAAAAATAAGTTAAAAAAATGTGAAAATAATTTTGATTCTTATTGTTGGAACTTTTGTGCTTTTTTATACACTTTTCTTTTAAAACTTTTAATATTATATTAGGTGTTGTGCTTTTTTTGTGTAATATAAATTTGAATAAACAAAGAAGAAGAGAGAAACAGAGAACGGAGAGAAATAAAAGATTTTATTGCTGTAATTTTAGCAACAGTTTAACGTAAACTCTTTTATTAATTTCTATTTTATACGAATTATTGCAGCAAATAACAAAAAGAAGGTAATCGATGTGTATAAAATACACTTACAGGTTCCCACTAAAAATGAATTTTGAAATTCTCTGACTTTTCCAGGTTTTCCAGATGAGAATAAAAAATTTTCCCTGACCAGTATAAAATATTTATTGTCGGAACTGATGTAAATCAGATTTATATATGTTTTTAAAAAGAGAGAGGGACACATTATATGAATAGAAATAATTTAATTAAGGCAAGGTTAAATAAGCGACGTGTTGGATAATTGTAATTCGAATAATCAAGGTTTTATGTATGTAAATTTTAACGTTTAGAAACAGGAGTAGTAGGAAAATTAGCCTATATTACTAGACACAACGAAAATCTAAAAGACAAAGTATAATAAAATCTTGTATAAATTCAGGTAAAAAAGAAATAAATAAGTATTGAAAAAAAGAATGCAATTATGACAAAAAAGGTAGTCAAATAAAAAATGAATAAAATATAAATTTTAATCATTTTATTATAAATTTTAATTATTTTATAAATCACTACATTTGATAAAATATACATTTAATTGTAACAAAGTTAATTAAATTTAAGTTTCGTATTAAACTATATGGAACAAAAAACAACATTCCGAGAAATTTCTAATTAATACATTAAAAAAAAGAACAAAAGCGCCATCTCGTAGTAAGGAATGATTTGTAAAGTGCGCAAGTTTTGAATGTACTTGACTATAAACCTTAGATATGTTTAAAAAATTATAACAATTTTATTTGGAATAAAAGCATTTCAAGAGAATTACGAGCAAAGTTCAAAATTCCAGATTTTTTATATTTTCCCTGATTTTCCCGGTTTTCCAGACCCGTGGGAACCCTGACTTACAATTAGATTTTTTGAATCGTACAAAAATGTAGCTATATTTGTTGTGTATTCAATTAACATAAAAATAGATTGGTGTTTATCGATAATCTTACCTGAATGTCAGTCTTGAGATTCGTCGGGATATCATGCAACTCCATATTCGAACAGGCTGCTTCCAGCATTGAATAGACCCTGTTGTATCGGCACTTTTTCAAAGAAGTGTCCCGATCGACGACCTGCGTGGGGCCCGGCGAACCCAACACCAGAACATCCGGTACCGTAGCCACGACGAAGCCCAGTAATAGAAAACCATTAAAAAGAAGGATGCTCATGTCTACAACAGAAACGGAAACGTACGCTTGAACTTTGCCCAAATCGAAACTCCGATTGGATAATAGTTTTGTGAATGGACAGGATGGATAGAAACCATAGTGAAAATAACAAAGTGAGTATAATTATGTGAGACACGAAATGACAAATCACGTTGGGTCCTCGCTTCGCATTGTGTATCATTATAAATTATATTTAGAAGATTTTTTATCATCTTCATTAATCGATATATCATCATTTCCTCCCTTTTAATCCGAAAGATTTCGTTTTCGCAAGGCGATGGGCGGCTTGAAGCAGTTAAAAGAAGTTGATTAGCAACCCGCGAGATAGCTTTGAAAAAATTGTGGAAACTTTTCCAATCGCTCGTACCTATCTTCCCGTAACGTCCATTTACGTGCAACTCCGGTATTTCCGTAGCTTAATTAAGTATCCTGCTAGATGAAAAAGGAAAGTGAAACTCGCGAGAGAGAGAGAGAGAGATATATCACTTGAAATCGTAATAGCTCCAGCTACCGGAGCGTCAGCGTGTCTATTTGCGTTCGCTCGTTAGACGTTTTTCATGTTCGGAGAGCAGTATCATAATCCCGATAAGCATCGTTTTCGGTTGAAATCGATCCGACAAACGCAGGCGAACATTTTTGCATCTATTACGGGGCATGCATTGCCCGGTGTCACTGACGAGATGCGGTTGCGAGAGCTGACCTCTTATATAGCCGGTTAAGCTGTCAGTCGAAATAGCTGCATGGCCAGCTGGCCATCCGGTCCGCTTTACTGCCGACGAAGTAATTTCCAGGTGATTCCAACTTCGCGCGCAGAGAGGGAAAATTTCGGCCGTGTAAATTTTCGGACTTTGACAGCGGAGCAAAATTACGAAGGGAAGAGAAGGGTTAGGCGGAAAGTTAACGAGGCTTCTCTCTTCTATTATACGTTTCCTGCGTCCCGGTTTGATGTATAAGCATAAAACGCGGCGTTTCGTACAAGAGAAACGGCTGTCGAAAACGTCCCTTTCGTTATTAATCGCCTATTTATCCTGATCAAATTGCTCTTACAGCAGGTATTAATAATGTAATATACACAGAGAGTAGTAAAGTGAATTTAAGAAACTGAGGAATCTGTAATTGTTAGCGCGATATCCTCCGCAACCCAGACGAGATCGATGTAACTGCAGTATTTGTAAAGATTATATGGCACAGAAAAAAAAAAAACAGTGAGGCGCAAGCAGTATATATCCAAAATGTTAATTTGCTTATTGCTCACTGTTTAAATTTTTTTGTATGCCATATCGCATTAAATTTACACTTAGGACAAATCACCGCAATTGTATTCTTTGCAGATACGCCTAAAAAAGTTGAACGTCAGACACATGAATAGAATTTTATTACATCATTATGATATTTGTGCGCATGCTGTTCTACTTTTAGAATACTTTAAGATCTTAATCTGCGTCTCGTAAGAAACTTCCTTTTTTATACCGTGCGACACTTCGTGTACGTCGAGAATATTTCGCCCTTCTTCGCTCGACCGCTAAGCGACCTCGTTCCGCGGAGGTGCAGCCGTTGCGGATTTTTATCGCGGGATTTATTGCGCATTTCGATGAGATAAAAATTTCATGGCGCTCTAGCTCCCCGGGGCTGGATATTATAGCGGGAAACCCGGCTTCTCTCAACCATAATTAAAATTAAATTGCAGTTAGCTAAGACGAAAGTGCTCTCCTCGTCGAAGCCGAAAGCTTAATAGCATTGCGTAGGATGCACGGAGGAAAGGAAGATGATGCGCCTGCATGTTGTAGTTTGCCGTTTGTGTAAAGGACGATGACGACGGCGATGAGAACTTCACCGACTTCCGTATCTTACGCTCATTTGCCTGCATTCGAAAACGTTATTAATACAAATTGGAACAGCAGCCTATCTCTCTCTCTCTCGCTCTCCCTCCCTTTTTCTCTTTGCGAAACTTCCGTCCGATCTATTTCTCAATACAACATCGTGATAATCAAACTTCCTCCTCTGAGCACTCTGTGACGTCGTTGTCTCCTTCTTCCATCCATTCTCCTTCGGTTTATGAACGTGAAGAGAACTATGAGTCTATTAGTTCTAGAATTAATTTGATAATTTTACGGGATATATCTTGCTTAATTGGCTGTCCATATTAGTTTCGTAAATCATACGAAATAGTTAAGACATATTTTAAAAATATTTGTGAAATTAAAATGATAAACAAGATTAATATACACCTATTTTTTAGTTTACAAAAATATTCTAAATACCCTTCATAAGAAAAATTAATAAAAATATATATTATTGAAAATATTTTAAATAATGTATATTACGTACATTACAAAGTACTATATACGAAATGTTGAAATATTCATTTTATATGTATAAGAAAACTATTTTTACGCAATGTTTTTATCGAGAAAAATGCAAAGAGATTTCGAATCCTTTTTCCTTTATGGAATATTCCTGTTTGCAGATACTTCCTCCTTCGAGAAAGATCTTGATAAAAATATTGATGTAATATCACAAGAAAGTGCTTGAAAGCATTCGAAAGAGAGTATTTTCCTTGATCATTCAGTAATACCGTTTCGGAAGTTGAAAACACGGAACGTGCTTTATTTACGAATTGTTATAAAACCATTGTTTTTACCAACACGTCGACTAAATATCACTTGATATCAATTTATTATTTTATATCCATTTTTGATGATTCGTGAATAATATATTCATAACGATAATACGTTTCACGCTGGTAGTGTGACGAGTTGAGCGCTTTCATTTCAATCAGCAACGAGAGCAAACACAATTTAAAAGTACATTTTGCAATAGGAATATAGCTCGTTAAAGCATGAACAAGAGTCCAAATGACTGAGTCGGATGTAACATCGCGAAAAATATTTAGAATATATCGTTACACGAAAAATGATTACTAACGGTTTTTAAAATCTTTTTCTTTCTTTTTCAAATTCTTTATAAACAAAAATATTACAAATTTGAAATTATTGTAATTAACAATTTACGAAACTATAATTGAAGCAATAATTTTTAGAAAACTTGTAAAGTTAATTTTCTCCAATGTTAATTTTCAGAAGGTTAGGAAAACTAATTTTTTTAAAATCTAGCAGTCGTGCAGTTAACTGGTTTATTAAATTTTTTTAGATTTTCCAAAAATATATTGATTGATATTATTGAGATAAATAATATACACATAAATTAATTATTGTAAAATTGTTATCACTAAAAATTCGTAAGCCGTAAAAAAATTGTATTCATTACTCTTGCAATAAATTCATTTCAAAACTATTTTATCTATTCAATTATTACACATATTTTCAGCTTTTTTTTATTTTTATCCATTTATCATTCATTTATTGCGCTTTCTGGAACGAATTCCTTCAAGCGGCAATTTTAACTTTTGGAGGAAGTGAACTATTCGCGCGTGAGACGAATAATCGAAGGATAAATTTTCCGCGAAACTCTCTCGCGTAGCTTTGTCGATGCCACGAGATTCGGAAGTCGATGTTATCGACAATGAAACAGTATACCGCTCACTGACGTTGTACCGGCGAGCTTATTTCCGGTGCGTATGCGGGGAACCGAGGGGAACGAGGAGCAGTGGATCCGTTTACAAGATGCCGTGATTCATGGTTCGTGCAGTTTGCAAGTTTTGAAAGAAGACGACACGGTGTTTATTGTGCCAAGATCTGATGAACTGCAGAGATGGTTTGGTGAGTTTCAACCAGCCGTCAGAGCTTATCGGCCGAATATCGACCATACGTCGCTGTTAATATTCGCATGAGAGGTCAGGTGAATCTCTATATGTATATCGCGTCTGTAACACGTGTATCAAATTTCGGACGTTTTGTAGAGTACATTTCTCACTTGGAAAGAGACTCACATGGGTGATCTCCATTACAAAAAGATTTTATTAAGAACAATCATAAAAAGTGCGACACACCAAAGGATATTCTTATGTATATTAATAATTCGTTACTGAAAAGAATGACTAATAGTTAAATTTATTAATGCATTTAAGCGTTTTTTTAAGATAATTTTCATAAAGTTATTTCTTTTGTCTTTAACGCATGTACGTCGTAGACCAGCTTTTGTAATATAAAGAGAGAGATTAATCATTATTAGAGCTCTTTGTTACGAAAGTATTGGTATCATATTATACCGATATAAAAGAAGCCCTCATTAAAATTCAAGCAGCGAAATATCCTGCGTGAAATTTTTGTTTTAATTATTTTTTACCGGTTGAAGAGGATATCCTGAATTCTTGACAATTTTTAGCTACGGAGATTCACTATAACAAAGAAGAGAATAAAACTGTTTCGCGAGAAAGAACGACGGGCAGACGTAATACAGGACTTACGGCTGCGAACATACATATATCAAGCTTCGCTGCATAAGTAATTACGTTTCATGTTAAAATTTGCTAAATTTTCTCGTCAGAGGGGATATTCTCGCAATGAGACTAAAAGTCGGAAGAACGACTGGCGGGACACACATTGCGAAAAGTAAATGTTTTATCTCAACGTGAGCGGAAAGAAAAAAGACAGACGGGAGACTCCGATTCTCGCGAGATATACGCCGCGAAGAGAAATGAAAATTTCATTTACATCTTAATGGGATTCAATTATTGTCTCTCTTTAATCTGGTCTTCAATTCTTTCGGATGTCAGACGATTTTCGATTTCATAAGCGACGAGTCTAAATGCGCGATTCTACGGCGCGATTTTGCGACGCAGAGAGCGCGGAGCCATCTGTCCTCCGTCGGCGCTTTACGAGGCTTTCGTGGTTCAAGATGGGTACCCCGAAATAGACCATGTTATCGGTGCGGTGCATGCAGCACGACATTACGCGATATACAGCAACAGGTCTGCGCAATGTTACGGAAAGTGGGTTCGGTCGGTCGGTCGGTCGGTCGATTGGTCGGCCGGGAAGGCGGCGGCAATAAGGGTGTTAAGCATGTTTATTCACGACGCGTGAGTTCGATTGGCGGAGTCGCC